GTTCAGAGTGACCTTAAGAAATTGGAGAGCACATCCAGATAAGAGATAAAAGCAGACAGTGAGTGCTGTTTGCTAAGGAGAAAGCAAAATGCACTTTTACCAACTCAGGTTTAAACTGGAGAGGGATAGGCTAAAATAAGACTGAGCATTTTTAGTGGTTTACAAATGAATCAACAGCAAGAGCTATTGCAAGAGAGACAAATCCTGTTTTGAGTTATATTTGAAGGAGTGTCCTCCATAAGGTGCAGGAGGTGACTTACTCATGTGTGGCACTGTGGAGCCATCATCACTGCCATCAAATCCAGCTTGGGGTGCCCTGCTCAGAGGAAGACACAGAATTGGAAGGTTGGAAAGTGTCCAGAAGGAAACAATGTGAAGAGATTAAGAAACGTGAGAAGAGATTGAAAGAACTAAATTTACTTGGTGCAGCAAAAAGAAAACCATTGTGCAATGCAGCAGTCTGCCAACATGTAATAGTGGTTATTATAGTCCCAGATTTCCATGGCAGTTTAATTTACTGATTTGTTAATTTGCCAGGATGATTTAGGCTGGATGTTGTGAAAACATCCTGTTGCCATCATAAAACTGTTGCAAGACCACCTAGGGAGGCCAGGAAACCTCCTTGCCTGGGAGTTGTTAGAGATAAGAGAGATGATGCTGTCAGGACAGAGCCTCAGGTCTGTTGTTGCCCCTTGGTTTTGCTTTGTGGGCCCCCAGGTTTGTGCTCTGCTGAACAGGGAGAAGAGCAAGGAGCTGCTTGGCCAGAGTCTGGCAGGGTGAGCAAAGGAAGGGGACTGGGAAGGCAGGATTGCAGGAGATGAGGGTGGGAAGAAGGGGATGGGCTGAATGGGATGGAAAAGAGCTTATGGGAGAGAGTAGAGACCCACATGGCACTGAGATGAGTGTTGGGATGGACAGTAGGTGTGAAGAATCCAATGATTTTTCCTTCCGCCCAGCTGTAATCTCTCATGTTTCTCTTCCTTGGAGTCATCAGATAAATGGATAAAATTCTGGCCAAGGTGTACAGTGTCCCCCACCTCCTGTGGCTGCTGCTGAGGAGCAGAGTGGTGCAGTTGTCAGATCAAGTGGTGCTTCATGGTTCCAAACTACTGAATCTTGCTGGTGACTATAACAAGGGGTTGTTAAGAGTTCTCCAGGCTCCCATTTATTTTCTTGGGATTAACTATTTTAACAAACTGCTCACCCTGAGGACCTGACAAAATCCAGGTTGTCTGTGTGCACTGAAGTTCATTTTCTCCCTTTGCATGGGTGTACACATGTACATACTATGGCATGGGAGTTGCAAATCCCTTTTTTTCAAAGGGCCTGCAGAATAGCATAGGAATCTCCTCAACAGTTTGGACAATTTCAGAGCAAGTGACTGAAGTGTTGGAAACAAATCAGAGCTGGGTCTGGTGGTGGAACGTGCAGCCTTAACAATAGGCTATGTTCTCACCCTGCCTCTTTAAAATCACTTGTGTAACCCTCACTTTGCAAATGTTGTCCTGTAACTACAGTAAACATTTAAAAACTGAGCCAAAAGGGAGCCTGCCCTAAGCCTGGCATTAATGCTGGAGGCTGACACACACTTACCCATGGGGTCAAGGCTTTGGGCTCGTCATCTGCCAGGCCCTTTCTCACACCCACCAGCATCCTGTGTCTGCCCCGGATGCTGAGAGCAGAGGCTTTGAGCTCTGTGAGGAAATGGTGTCAGCTGGGCAGCCCTGAGTGAATTCATCCCTGTGTAGGACACAGCAGCCCGGCTGCTCTGGGCATCGCCACACAAGCTGCAGGGAGCCAGAATAAAAGCTGGGGGAAGGAAAAGAAAAAGAAATTCAAACCAGCCTGGGAGTCTTTAGCCTTTACCATTACTCATGCCTTGGAGGCATTTATACAACCATTGTGGCAGTTTTTTTGTCCTGCACTGAATTTCTCTGGGTGCTGCATTTCCGATGCCTTTCTATCCAGAATGCTGATAATCCCCAGCTCCAGACAGTAGTTTCCAAGCTCAGTCACAGGATTCACGGATGTTAAGGGGCGAGGCAGGAGCGTGGACACGGAGCCAAATGCCCGGCTCAGCGCAGGGATGCTGCTCCCAGGTCTGGCTCAGGGCAGATGCCCCCAGGGTGGCCACAGGGCTTGTGCCAGCCCCCGCTGACCTCTGGAGATGGTGAGTTAATTCTCCTCCCCTACGCCTTCCCCATCAGCCACTGTTCTTCAGAGGCAAAGATTGCTGCCTGATACTCTGCTTTTTCATCATTTTCTCTGACAGAACATCTGGCTCTGCCATCCTCTCAGTCACAGCGAAGTTTATCTCTCTGTTTTTTCACAGTGTTAAAAGCATCAAGACCTACCTGCAGTTTCATCTGCAGACACTGTTGCCTCAAAGGCAGAGTGGTGTGTGTATTCTTGCTGTAGTTTTGAGATGGTTCAGATTGAAGACAACTGTTTAATAACTACAGTTCTTATGCAATGCTCACTTATGGCTTGCTTCAGACAAAGGGGTTCACTCATGCATTATTTTACATCAGTGTATTAAAGTAGCTTTCAGAAACCTTTTTTAGGATCAGGACTCTTATTTTACAAGTTTGTAAAATACAGATCTAACGGATTTTAAGTACAGAAAATCCTGGGTTTGGAGTTCTCTTCCAGTGGTTTGATACATTCATTTTTTATGCAGTCATGAAAGTATGGATCCATACTTTCCATAAAATAATGGATGTATAATACTGTTACTCTAGTAAAGGAATGCTGGCATTGAATATTGTATCTTATGAAGGAAAATACTGTGCTGGTTTTGAATGGTCCAATCTCCTTTATCCTATGGGTTCTTTTATTTGTGTTTGAAATATCTTAGAAGTTTTGTGGTGTAACTGTTGTACAGTAGACATGGTTACTGCACACTGAATTCCTGGTCTAAATATGGAGAAAACTAAGATGATAACATGGGAGACCGAATGTGGACTTTTGATGGAGGCTGCTTTAGTATGGCAAATGGGTACTTTGGTGTATTAAAGCACTGGGTTTTTATCCTTCTGAAGGAACTTACCTAGTTCCATTCTGATATTTTGGAAGCCAGAGTTGACCCCTTACAGTGTAGACAGGCCACTGTTTATGCTTTTCTGTAAATTACGTTTTTTGCAGTTCATTGGGTGTTACACCACCTTGGAGGAAAACCTTATAAATACAAGAAATAGATTTTTAATTATATTCCCATACATTTGTTCTGGGGTTTTGTGAGTATTCATGGAACAGATAGGAGAGATGAACAGGAACTCTTGGCCACTGATGAAGCAGGCTCTAGCAATATCCAGGCATAGCATTTCTGACTTTAACTTCCAGCAAAGGATGAAAAGAAGGATGGGAGTAAGGAGGTAAGAAGTGCTGTTAAACTTTTTCCATGGAAACATGGAATCAAATGCATGTTACCTCGTGGTCCTTTCACTGATTTCCCTTTCTGTTATTGTTCTCAGCCTTTTCCCACCTATTTTAGGCTGTTTGCCTTCCTTTATTATATTATTTTCATATAAAGGTGGAAACCTGTTTTTTTTTCCTCCATCATCTCAGCTGTTTCTGCTCAGTGTCTGTTTCTGCTTGATGTTACATCCACATCCTGGTGTGGCTCAGGGTGACTCAGCTGTGTTGCAGAATGTTTTTGGGCTCAAACTGCTGTTAAAACATCAGATGAGATAAAAGTCTGGGTGATAACTGAATGTTTGCCTCTTCATGCAGCATCCTTGCACTGAGCAGATTGGTGGCTCTCTGGCTTGGCAGGGACACGTTTGCAGCTGTCCAGGACAGACTGGTGGTGGTGGGGAGGTCTGTAAGCTTGGGGCCGTGAAATGAGAACAGATGGTTAATGTTGCAGTGGATAATTCAAATATTGTAGTCTACCCAGAAGGACTGTGGGATTTGGTACCCAAGCATGTGATAACTAAAATAAAAGTTTGGGAGGCAGTGGGTTTGGCTGAGCTGGGGCAGCTGCAGGTCAGAATTAAAACCCCCAGGGCCAGAGCAGTGCCTTGGTGTTGTGTTTGGTTATGGGCAGTCAAAGCTGTTCTTGCTGTCATAATAACAAAGTAATTGAAACTTTCAAGAATAGGAAACCTTTTAATTTTGGTAGAAGACTTTAGTCATAAATTATGCCAAAGAGGTGATGTCTCCAAATGACATGTACAAAGCATGGACAAGAGTGACTTTTTTTATTGGGACCCCAGAGCAGGTAGACACAAAGGATAAAAGTTTCTTCTCAGTGCTGCTGTACCTCCTTTCCATCACCACTTTGGTTTTTTACTGCTGTGGTCTGTGTTTTGAACTTCTGCTTTGGAATAACCCCAGCAAGGAGGCTGTAACAAGAAGATGAAATGTTTTGCAATGGTTTAATAAAAGATACTTCATCAGCTGTATAGGAATTAGCAGATGGGAGCAAATTCTAAACTAGACTTTCTTTTGTACTTGGTCTCTTGCAGCTAATAAAGTTCTTTTCCTTCCACTTCTCTTTCTGCTTCACTTATACAGTAAATTTATGCCTAAATAAGCATCTACTTGATGCAGCAAACTTTCTGATTTTCTCTTGAGCAGTGGTGAACTTAACTGCTTCCTCCCTTCTTACTTGCTGTATTTATCATCTTAGTGCCAGTGATGTACTTAGTGAAAATGAAGGCGGTAAGTGTGCCCAGGAGACTAATCCAAAAAATAGAGCAAATATTTCTGGATTACCTTGTTTGCTTTCTCTTCTGTTTGTGTAGTTTGAAACAGAGGAACTGTTGCTATTCTGTGTTTAACCTGAGTTATGCTGCTCTACTTTCAGATCTGCAGAAGGCCTGGTGAGTGGCTTATGGTATCCTCAGCCTGGTTGGATGTTACTTCTCCCTAAAGACTTTTCCCTGATACCATTACAGCCACTTATTAGTAGTTTCTCCTCATTTTTGCACTTAGTTATTTGGGGGCATAGTTATCCTTCCCTGCATCTTTATCCAATACCACTCTCCCTCTCTTGGAGCATTTCCATCTTCCCCACTGGAACACCAGTACTGTGTTTGCAGGTACCTTGGGGCTGGCTCTGCCTGGCTGGCTGTGCTCTCTCCTCATGTGGTGTCCTTCCAGCTGCTGAGATAAGAGGCAGGAACGTGAAGCCTCGCCCTTGCTCACTCATTAGTCTGAGCCCTGGTACTGAGTCTGCTTAGCATCAAGTGACTTGTTTTTCTTGTGTCTGAGACTGTGCTTACCTTCATAAATCAGAAAAACATCATAATCCTGAATTACTTGACACTTAAATTTTGCTTGGTTTCTTAACACAGCTGGACATATTAAATGCCTGAAAGCGGTTGGGAGGAATATTTCCAAAATACACATTTTCAAAGGCTGGGGGTGCAGTTCTCTGAAATGTTAGTTTCAGTCTGAGATCTTGTGTTTAGGAGTATGAAATCTCTTCTGCCTTTCCAAAATACGGGACTGGTTCTTACCAAAAGCATGGAGAGGGATGGGCTGTTAAAATCTACTGAGACTAAAGAAGGATTCCTTGGTATTTTGTTCCACTGTTGTTTCTTTTTTTAACTCACTGGCCATAACAAGGTGAGGAAACGCTGACCTGCTTGCTCAGGAGGAGGCAGATAAGTTTTAGCTTTAAATGCCTGCACTCCAGAGTTAAAACGGAGCAGGTACCTTCTGGAGCCTTTGAAAAGAGAATGAAGGTTGCTTACATCATGTCCAGATATTCCAACCTGTAGATAACCAAAGAGAAGCATGAATGTAAAGATTGGGGTCTTACAAAGGGAAGGAGTGAGAGAAACTCCTCCCTGCAATGTGGGCAGAAATGGGTTTCAGGGCATTTTGCAAATTCTGTGTTTTAATGTGTTTTGAGGAGATGTCGAGAGGCATCTCAAAAAGCTTTTTTAGTTCATAGCTGTATATTTGGGGAACAGTGTTTGATTTTTCTTGTCAAGCCTTGTTTATTTCTTCTTTTCTGTCTTTGAGGAAGCTGAGTTTTACTTTGTATGCTATAAACGATGCAAAAAGCACCCAGAAGACTGTAGATTGATCCTCTGCCTTTGTTATAAATCTATGTATATAGACTAAATAAATAGCTTCTTTCTGGGCTTAAAATCTTTACAGTGCAGCAGACAACAAAAATTTGTGTCTTGGAGTAGCTCCGAGAATTCTTTAATGCTGAAATATCTCCTCTGCTTGCGAACCTGGGGCTCTCCCTCCTCTAGATAAGCAGTTTCTGTTTAAACTGGTTTTTTTATGACTATCCTTTTGGGCAAACATTGCCACAACTGATGGAGACTCTAGGACTGCATGGCAGGGAAATAAGAAGTTCGAAGGTAAGATTGAACAAGTCCTCTCTGTTAAAAAGAGCAAGGGGAAAGAAAATATCTGTGCGTGGGGTATTGGCTTTCTTTGGCTCTTGACAGTTTGAATGTACACTGAAAAAGACTGGAGCTCTTTAAAAGCTTTGTAGTTGTTTTCTTCACTTCCAATAAAACAGAATTTAGATAGAAACATCTTGTTTCAACTAGCAGCTGAATTAAATGTTGAAAATAGGATATTTTGGTTGAATTTGTTGGGGTTTTTTTTTTTTTTTTTTTTTTTTTTGTTAGGCAGTCATTAGATTCACAAGAAAAGTACATTCTGTTTTTTGCAAGCCTTCCTGTGAGCAGTGTGTGTTCTCTGTCTGGGAAGTAGCACTGTCTGAAGCACCAAATACTTTGTGGCAGCTTGGCTCTTCAAATATATTGTGTGTTACCTTTTATAGAGGATGTTGGCAGGTGTCTGGATCCCAGCAATGAAATAGCAGGAGGGGAGACAAGACAAACCTGGGCTTTATTGTGGATTGCTGTTGGAAGTGCAAACGGGAGCCAGGAAGATGAGCAGTGGAGGGTGTTTTAGCCCCTTGTATGGACAGAAAGCAGCAACAGCAGGGAGTATTTAAAGCCAGTATTTAGGTGAGATGTATTTCCTTTATTTCTTGTCTGAGTCTGGTGACCAGACTTGGGGGACATTCAGCCTTTTTCTCCCCCAAACTCCCAGTACAGGAGAGGGAACGAGGTGCTGACTGCAGCCGCTGAAGAGAGACCAAAGTCAGGAAAGGAGCTCAACTTTTGTTTTCTTCCAGTCTTACTAACTGGCCTAGCCAAAAAAGAGCGTAAAATAACAACAGCTGTTGAAAAAAGTCAAAATTGTGTGCTTGTAGCAACAGATGTTTCCATAAGCCATTGATTTTTAGGTTGGCCCAGCTTAAATACAATATGAGCATGAAAAGAGTCAAAAAGGTAAAATCTTATCTAGGAGATGTTTCTCTGGTTAGGAGAACTTTATAAGCTGTCAGAGAAGCCATAAACAAAGTTGCACCGAAATATATAGTGACTTTTAGTTTAAATTGTGAAAATACTTTGTTTTCAATAGCTTTCAGATCTTTTGCTGGGTTTTTTTGCTTATGCGTCTGCATTAAGTAAGCCCATTTAACAAAACCTGATCCTCTTATAAACATGGAATAATGACAGTATCCCACATATGGGTTTCATTAATTTTTGCATGTTTTGAAGTTGCCTTTTTTTTTCTCCGAAAGGCAAACTTCAGAAACAGGAGAGACTAGTGCTGCATGATAGCCAGAAAAGACTAACTGAGGAATAATAACTTGGAGTATTTAAATTATTTAACTGTTGTATAACAGATTTTTTTCTATAGAGAAGGATGCTGCATAATCTGCATTCCTCCCTGTTGCTGTTACTGGTTTGCTGTGATGGAACTGGCATCAGTTCTGCTGGTTTATCTGCAAGCTTTTGTGCTCCTGAGTCTTGTAAATGCTTTGGATTTTAGCCTGAAGAGAAACCTTCAGAACATGTTCCTCTTTCTTCCTAAGAAAACAAAACCAACCCTTTCCTTGTAGTCACTGGCAAGAAATCTCAGATGCTCCATTTTCCTTATCTGCAGCACAGAAATTTGCAGCTCCTGGGACAGTCCAAATCAGAAGGATAACTCAGGGAAATTGCAGGATATAATAAATGCTGCTTTTTTGACATTTTTGGTGCCATTTATCATCATCCGTTGTCTTAAATGTATTTATCTATTGAAAAAAGCTGTTAAATATATGAAAATGCAGCATCTCTGGCAGCTGGGGTATGAGAGGGGAGCACAGAAAATCAGCAACTAAAACTTTCCTAAAGCACCTGTACTGGTTTGACATTCCCCAAGTTTGCAGGGACATTCCCTAGCTGTAACTGAGTGGAGAGGCATAGGAGCAGGGCTTGGGACCCATTATTCCAGTTAGGATTTAACCTTGCAACAGCAAATGTTACTGTAGAGGGATCTTTGAAAAGCTGGTGGAGAGGTGTAGGGTATGTTAGTTTATAACCTTAGAATAAATATTTTTTTCTGGAGAAGCATCAACTGTTGAGAAAAGTCCTCACTAATGGTGATGCTTTCACATATCTGGCTGTACTTACACATGTTTTATGCCCTGAAATGCCTTTAAAAATAATTTCTAAAATCAGGCTATAGGGGAGAACATACTCAGCACGGATTGATGTAGCAGTCCTTAATCACAGCTTTGTGGACCCAATGAATCCTTACCCTTGTATATACATCTTTAGTCCAGAGGGATGAAAGTGGGGTAAAAATGGATAAAACCAGGTTTTTTTTTCCACAGGGTCAACATTCTCTCCTGGGCTCTTGAGCTGTAAGGACATGTTTGTTTAATATTCTTTACAGAGGACTACCAGGGAAACGGATAAAACAGTGAGCAAAGGAATACTCATGTGGTCCTAAAGCAGACCTCCCAGGCGGGAGCTGGATTCCAAAATGCCTCCTCTCAAAGTTTGCCTTGGATTTCATTTCAGGTTTCCAAACGTATGGAGAGAGGGCATGAAAATATTGGTTGGGTGCAGGTGTAGGTGGGAGAGTGATCTGGAGTGTCTGTTACTGCTGGGAGAGGGGCTTGGCTGCACTCAGAGCATCTCAGTTACCCCTAGGGGCTGAGATCCTCCTTCCCACAAAGCAAACAGAAAAATTGGAAGGGCAAAACAAATGCCACAGTGTCCTCAATCCACTGCCTTCATTAGCAGCCAAACAAAAAGTTGACCTGGGAATATGATGGGTGCCTTTGTACAGTGCTCTGCTTTCCCAATGCTTCCCCTCCCAGATTTTCAATTACAAGATGAAAGAAAAGATAACTTTTTCCCTTTTGACAGAGTGCCTGGCCAGGACAATACACTGTGGGCTTCCTAAGGGCTGAGTCCTAGTGACTTCTGTTAAAAAGAAAAAGAAAAAAAAAGAAAAAAAAAAAAAGGGAAGCTGAATCATTTTCTGGCATGATTTATTCATTTGAATGAACCGTCTCTGTTTTTCAGTTAGATTACAGTGCCTTAAACTGTAGGCATGAAAGAATGGTAAAAGTTGAATAATTTCCTCAGTTCAAGATGTGTCATTTTTATATTGTCCATTAATTTCACTCACTCATGCCATGCGTCATTTTTGTTGGGCTTTATCCGCCAATTCATCTACATAATCTGCTAGCCTGTCTCTGCTTTTAGCTAAAGACATAATTCATCAGATAGAGCCATCCACCAGACATTTCATGGCACTTATATCATGCTATGCTGAGGCATCCTGGAGTGGTTCAGGCGATGTCTGCCCACAGCAGTGGGGTCATTTCAGAGCACAGAGATCTTTCTTGCACTCTGGAAATGTGAGGGGCTTTGTTTTCCTGCACAAGAACTCAAGCTAATTTTTAACCTCATATCTTGAACCGTGGAGATTCAGTTTTCTAGAATGTGTTGTTATGGGAGAACAGAACATATGTTTTCAGTTGTGTAAATAAATACTTTTATATCCTGTATCTATCCCAATGATGTCAGAATATGCTTTTTTATTATAGATTTTATAAAAATTGAAAACTCCTTTGATTTTTGAATTTGTGAGCTTTATAGATAATTAAACATTCCCTTTTTATGGCATTTGAGACAAATGCAACGATCTCTTCCTTAATTCCTCTGTAGGAAAAATTATTAGACATTGCTTGATTGGACTTGAGCAGGCCTTCAGGTATTTGAGGGATGGGCTGTGCAAACCAATTTCAAATGGCTTGTATAATGTTTGAAAACTCCTATAAATGCAATTTTTTATTTTAAACGCTTTTGTTTATATCATTATCCTTTGAGATCTCCGAAACTGTAATCCTTCCTTTATAGGAGAATCACAGTAATTAGCGAAGATTATCACTCGTTGTGTGCAGGTAAAATTTACATATTTATTGCCAGCAACAGAAAACCATAAAGGGGAACATAAACAAATCTATTGTGACCAACTTCAGTGTTGGATGAGGTCAGAGAAGTGAACTTCATTTCCTCAGCAGGGTGAGCTGTGCCAGCTGTGAAATCAAAGCATTATCTTCCATCCACTTGTTTTGGTTGCAGGTTTGTTTATGGTGCTATTCTTTACAGAGGTCTCCATTTTTTTGGTGTTTGACCCAATCTGTAAGTCATTAGATCCCTTGCAGCTGACAGGAGGACACAGGGGATGTGCAGCTGATTTGTTGCTGCAGTTCACAGCTCAGGTGCTCCTTGACAGCCTCTTTTGGGACTGTTCCTGCTTTATCCACTCCTGTTTTCCCTTCCCTATTTTCAGGATGTTGAAACTCACAGATGTCCAGTACTTGACAGCAGAAGTATTTCTCCCAACTCCCATAACATGCTAAATAAATATCTGTGGCCTGGTCCAAGATCCCACAGCACTTCAGCCAGCTAGACATCCCAAGTGCAGTTATTTTTGGTAAAGGAAGAAGCAGATCTTGCAAAGTGATGTGGAGTCAGCTGAGGGGTTGCTAATCTCTTGTGTGGGTTGTGTTTCTCCTGTAGCCATTTGGGAGCAGTAAGATGGGCAGTTGACTTCCTCTGGAAGGATGTTCAGGCATGCTCCGTGGCTGACCAAAGCTTCGGCGTTTTTCTGAAGGTTATTTGGACAATAGAAATTCCTGAAAAATGTACACTGTGTCTCTGAGAAATATTAGAAAAAGGGAAGGCCAGGAAGTGGCTGAAGGTCTCTCAAGGTGTTTTTGTGTTTTCTCAAAACAGACGCTCCATGTATCCGTATGTCTGACAGCTTTCCAAGCCCTCCCCATTCCCTCATGGCTCTTTAGCTGGTTCTTAGACAGTTCTCTTTGAGCTCAAGCACAGGCTGCAGCTGGACAGTGGATTGTTTGATGTTAAATCAGCTCAGTCGTGTTGTCCCAAAGCGTTGCTCCATGAGGAAATGCCTCTCTCCAGACTTTGGTGTGAATATATGAATTAAATAGGGAAGTTTTGGGAGAGTCCCAGGCTTGAGAATA